GCGGGCCGGGCCTGCGCCCCCCGCTGCCCTTGGGGAGCCCGCGGCTGCGGGCAGCGTCTCCTGGGGCAGGCGTGCTGGTGCTGGGGGTGCTGGTGCTGGGGGTGCTGGTGCTTCTGGTGGTGGTGCTTCTGGTGCTGGTGCTTCTGGTGGTGGTGGTCGTGCTGGTGGCGGTGGTGGTGCTGCTGCTGGTGGTGGTGGCGCTGGTGCTGCTTCTGGTGGTGCTGGTGGCGTTTGTCTTGGAGCAGCTCATCTGTCCCGGTGGTTTTGTGTCCAGCTTTGCTACGGCTGCCTTATGAGGCGAAAGATGACGTTATTTTCCTGGTTCTGGGTCCGTAGGTGCTGGGCGGGTGGGATTCTGCTTTTCTGTGGGGCTGAGGGGAGCCCTCATCGCTCTCTGCAACTGCCTGAAAGGAGGCTGGAGCCGGGGGGGTCGGTCTCTTCTCCCCAGGAACAAGCGATGGGATGAGAGGGAACGGCCTCAAGCTGCGCCAGGGCAGGGTTAGGTTGGATATTAGGAAAAACTTCTTCGATTTCAAAGCCGGGGAGATGTGGTGCTTGGGGACATGGTTTAGTGGTGGCCTTGGCAGTGCTGGGTTAACGGTTGGACTTGGTCATCTTAAGGGTCTTTTCCAACGTAAACAATTCCGTGCTTCTGTGTTTACAGAGAACTTGTATTTGTTGAAATCCAGTTGACTTCAGGTTTCTACACCAGCCGGCTATCGCAAGGCACCAGCTGTGCCCAGCTGTAGGTGACCTGCCGCCCTCAGATGTTACCTGCCAGATCATCTGTCGCGGAACGGGTGCTTTAAGCCTGTTTAAACGCTGCTGGGAGCGGCCGCCATGGAGGAGGTGGAGTCGCGCTTCCTGCACCTCCTGCAGCCCATCCGCGACCTCACCAAGAACTGGGAGGTGGATGTGGCCGCCCAGCTCGGGGAGTACCTGGAGGAGGTAAGGGGGGCCCTGCGGCCCCGGCGCGGGGTTGGGGAGGTTGGGGGCGACCCCTTCGGCCCCGCCTGCGTGGGGAGGGCTTTCTGTCTGCGCCCCGCGGCCCCCGGCACGCTGCCGGTGCTCTTGACTTGTCCCTCTGGCTGTGCTGCCCTCAAATCCGGTCTGCAAATCAGCCTTTCACTTTCCTTCTTTTGCGTGTTTTGCAGCTGGATCAAATCTGTATTTCCTTTGACAACGGGAAAACCACCATGAACTTCATAGAAGCGGCCCTGTTGATCCAGGGCTCTGCCTGCATCTACAGCAGGAAGGTGAGGAAGCCGGTGGCGACCGCCGCGTCGTGGCCCTGGTCCTGTCGCCCTGCCCGTCCCGCGATCCCTCAGCCGGGGGTCCTGAGGCCGAGCGTCATGGGGGCTGCTCAGGGGAACTGGTTTTGAACGACTTGAACGTAATAATGACTAATTGATGCGAAAGGACATAGATTTATAATTCCTAAATTTAATCACTTTATATGCATTGGGGTTGGCAGCCTGGAAAAGAGCAAGAATTTTGCTGCTCAGCACTTTTCTTCTCTAGAGAGTGGAATACAAAAACCTGCTTCCCCAAATCTGGACTCAGAATGGCTCAAACGGTGAAAAGGACGATGAGGTTATCAAGGAATTGAACTCTCACTGCCCGGAGATAAGGGGAGGGCTGTGGTTCATCCCGGCCTCAGCCAGAGTAGCTTTTCTGGGAGCTGCTTTCTCCTTCTCCAAGAGCCTGGCCCCTGTCTTGCAGGTGGAGTATCTCTACTCGCTGGTCTACCAGACGCTCGACTTCATCTCCAATAAAAAGTAAGTTTTCATCTCCGCCCCGGGGAGGCTGCCGTCCTCCACCGCGCCCTCGCTGCCTCGGCAGAAAATGCTGCCGCGTGCTTCTTGCCTCGCTGCCCTTGCCCTCTGTGTTGCGGTAAGGCCCCAGCCCTTCCCTGCTCTCTTTCCTGCCAAGATTCGGTGGCTCCTGCCGGAGAGCGAGGGGGCTGTGCGTCCTCTTTTGGACACAAGGCTGGGACTTGCCCCGCCTGCAGCGGGAGCCTGTGGGAAGATCTGTGATCCTGCTTCTGCTGCTCCTGACTGCTCCGCCCCTAGGCCCTAGGCAATTGTCTCTTTAAAAAAAAACTAAACAAACCTGTTGCAGCATCAGTTTCTAGCCCCGTAAGGAGTTCTTTGAAGCAGAAGGATTTTTGTGGCTGCAGGGAAGTCCCCTGGTGTGACTTGCTTCAGCCCAGGGGGCCTGGGGCGGTGCTCATCCCCGTGCATCTTCCAGTGGCATCGTCCTGTGGTTTTCTTGCCACAGCACTTTGCTGTTGCGTAAGGAGAGGGTAAATCTTAGCGGGCAAGAAACCGTCCCGTGTGGCAAAGCAGCTTGTGATTTATTTTCCCCCTTATTGCTGAAAGCGGGGCTCTGCCCTCGCAGCTGCAGTTCCCAAGCTCCCTTGTGCAACTGGCCTGTCCCCAGCCGAGGAGAGGTCAGCTATCGGCGCCCTCCCGTCTGCGCTCAGACTGGGGATCTGGGAAAAGACGAGGTTTTTGCGCTGCACCTTGCTCCGAGCGAGGGCGGCTTGGCTCCAGCCATGCAAACGAGCTTTCTGAGGGAACCGCCCTGCCTCCGCTTTGCCCAGCCGCGGGCCCCACTCGTAGGAGATATTGCCGGTTGTTCGGGGAGGTCGAGGCAGAGGACCTGAAAGCTCCTCTGCTTGGGCTGGAGCAGGGTGGAGCTGCCACAGAGGTTTCCAAAAGGCTCCAGCGATAATTTCCATGCTGTGGGATTGAAGTGAAACTTTCCCTCCTGTTTCAGTAACAGAGTTTCCGAGCTGGAATCGGTGTTTTTGTTCCAGATGGGATTTTTTGGGCAGGCTGGATCCCCCCTTCCCAAAAGCCCCAGTTCCTTTGCAGCCCCCCACCACCTTCCTGGGCAGGCAGAGAGGAGCACTACGAGTGCCTTAGCTCGCTCTCGTCAGGGGAGCGTGCTGACGGCACGACTGTCCGGCGGCGCTGACGGTCGCGCCGTCACCTCTCCGTGCCGCTCGTAGCGCTGTGGGATGCTCCCGCTTAGAGACGCCGCAGTGGGGTTGGAGGGAGCCTGCTGCCGCTTCACCTCCAGCCCTTCGCCGCTGCCCCGGGCAGGTCCTGACCGTGCATTTTGCTCCCTGACTCAGGCGGGAAAAACAGCCCAGCTCCGTGGGGCAGGACGGCAAAGATGCTGATGCGACCTTTGGGGAGGAGGAGGAGGAGGAGGTGAGAGGGGCGTCTGTGCCCTGGGGCGGCGCGGGGAGCGGAGCGCTTGGCGGCTTGTGTGCGTGGGCAGAGCTGGTTTTGGCTGCTGGGGCTGTAGGCAGCGGGGGCGTCCCTAGCGCTCCCCCCTTTCTGACTGGCGCCGTGGCTGCCGTCCCCTCTGCGTGCTCTCTCCTGTGTACACTCTCCTGCTCTCCCCTCGCAGGGGCTGTTGAGCCCCACATCTCCCTGCTCTGCCCCGGGCACGACAGGAGCACTCGGTGGGCTTTTTGTCACGCCACCGCCGTGCTGGCCTCCAAGGGACACGACCTACCACCTGGTAGCCCTCCCAGAGAAGAGCTAGCCCCCGTGCTGCGTGTGTGGACCTCCGTCCACCCCGGGGCTTGGCCTGCCTTAACTCGGGCTGTGTCTCTGGGTTGGACCCTTCCCGTGGTGGCGGGCACCTTCATTCCTTCCTCGCTGTCCTCCTGCCCATCGGGTGCTGCCCTCACAGCGCTGCGCGCTCCAGCCCCGCTCCCGTCCTGCCGCAGCAGCTCACTAGCTCGGTCTCTGCCGCTGGGTCTGTCCCACCCGCGTGGTGCGGCCGTGGGATCGCCCCGTGTCCGCCCTGCCGCTCCAGTTAGGGTCCCTCGGTGGTGGTGCGGCCCGGCAGGCCGAGCCGGGGTGACTGCCGGTGGGGGTCTCTCAGCAGTTCCTTTCCCTGGACGACATCAGGGACAGCAGCCAGGAGAACGTGGACATGAAGAAGGATCACCAGCCCAACGTAAGAGAAGCCCTTCTCCTCCTTTTCTGTTTTGCCCCGTGTCGGGGCTTCCCCGGATGAATCTGGGGCTGGTGCCACCCGGGCAGCGCTGTGCCGTGCTGGCCGCCTTCCCCGGGGTTGGTCCTGCCCTGCCGCCTCGCCTTCGCAGGCTGTGAACATTGTTCCCTTGACTCCGATGTCTTTGGTCCCCCCGGAAGAGGCTGAGAAGAGAGACAACCCTCTGTTCAGGTGAGAGCCCCCCTCGCCGCGCCCCTCGGCCGCCCCCGTGGGTTTAGCTGGGCCCCCCCGGTGCTGTAGTAGGGTCGGGCTCTCCCCATCACCGTAGCCGAGGAAGCAGCGCTTTCCCAGTTACAACTGGACGGCAGGAAGGTGGGATAATCCCATGGCCCGGAGAGCTGCGAGGCCTGGAGTCCTCTAGTGAAGGCAGGGCAGGAGGGTCCCCAGGGGCGGGATGAGCTGGGGCTGCGCTGGGAAATCCGGCCCGGACTCTGCTGGGCCAGAGGTGCTGGGAATGGCTGGCGGGAGGGCTGGGGCTGATCCCCCCGAGCAGGGGGGCTTTGGCTTTGGGGACAGGGCAGCGCCTGGTCTCGGGGGTCCCCTGACGGGTTTTTGCCCTCAGCCGGAAAGGGGAGATCCTCGCCAGCCGGAAGGATTTCCGGATGAACACGTGCACCCCTCACGCCACTGGAGCCTTCCTGCTGGAGCTGGCGGGCCTCTCCCCCACCTGCCTGCAGGAGCGGCAGCGCGTAGGGAGCCCCGGCAGAGCGGCAGGTACGGGGGGCTCGGGGCGCCGATTGCTGTGGGGCTGCCGGCCGGGAGGCAGCACGGGGGGAGCACCCTGGGGCTCAGCACCCTGAGCCCAGCTCCCTGGGGTGGGGGGGACGTGACTGCGGC